GGGGGTTGGCCGTCGTGGCTTGAACGCACGTGAAAGGAGACAAAGCACAAGAGACCTACCAGCTTGCTAGCTGGTCTTGGGGCACTCTCACAACCCATAACTTGTCACAGGTAGGGCACGCACATGGGAGGTGGGTATCTCGGCGTGTTGAGGTACCCGAAGGGTCTAGACCCGACCGGTTGACCGATCGACGGCGGTTGGACGTCGGCGAAGGGGGGCAAACGCGCAACGCATTCGCCACAGCAAAAAGCACTTGTCTGCAGGTCAGCACAGCCACTCTGCGTGGGAGATTGCGGGTGGTGTTCGGCCCAGGAACGGGATGCGACCCACCCACCAACCCTCCTCCCGCAATCGTTTCGAGCAAGTCCGCCCTGGGAGGGACAATTGCCGTCCGCCCGCCCACGCGACCGCGCCTGCTCGATACAGGTACCTGCCTAATAAACCCCATCAGCCCTGGTATCTCTGCTAGGTATCCTCTACTTGCGCTTGAAGGTTTTCCTATGGGTGAAAATGGAGAGAGAGAAAGAAACACACACACACACACGCAATAAAGACGTGCGAGACACTGTGTCGCTTACTCCTTTCCTAATTGTGCTGGGAAATCCCAGCAGGCAGACGGCCAGGGTTTCGTTCGGATATCGGAATAACTCGCGCTAGAGAACGACAGCGGACAATACGCTCCCGATCAGGTGCATCCGGGCTCTTGGGCTTGGGCTTCAGGCGTTCCGCTTCATCCTTTTGATTACGAAAAGAAGAAAAGAAGAAGAATTGCGGAAGAAGAAGCAACATTGAAGGAAGCTGAAAACACACACTGTAAAATGAGCGAATCTCTACATGTGGTCTGGGATACAGTGGGAGCGACATCAACGGGCTGGAACGCCAGAGACCAATCGAAAGCCCCCAACGGCTCTCCCCCCCCTCCATCTTCCGCAGTAGAGTGACGTTGTGGGATGGCGTCTGTGCCTGCTGAAATCCTCCGGGTGGAACAGCGGGAGAGGTGGCTCCCCCCCGAATGGGAGACGGCGGATCGTCGTCTGAGGAGCAAGCCCTTCCAGCTGCCGAGCCGATCACCACCAACCGGCTGGGCACCCTGCCAGAGAGTGTGAGAGGCCAGAACGGCGACAACCCCGGTCAATACCTGGCCGGGGCGAGCGGGCAACAAGTCATGGACAAGCGATGTATAACCCAAATGTGGATAACAAGGGAGATTATCACAGTAGTTAGTTCGTCTGCGTTGCTGGCAGCCCAAAAAATGGCACATCGTTGTACTCTCGGCCGTTTTACCACATGCGGCACAATGGTGGCAACGGTCCTCCAATCTCCATCCCTCCAGGCCACCAGCCGCGGTGCGCGCGCGCGCGCCTCGGCATTCCTCCTACCTGGGTACCCCCTCCCCTTGTCCATATCCCTGTGCCCGCTGGGCCGGGTCGGGAGGAGATTTGGTTTGCTTGCCGTGTCGCATTTCGGTAATTCGATATCAATGGAGAATGGGATCGTGATCCCCCGGGAGTGTGCCTGTCCCAAACCTAGGCGCTGAAGGCGGCCGGGAAGTTATGGACCCCCCATGCAAACGTGGAGGGCCGAGATTATACGGGGAGCAGTAAAGTGGAACAAGAAGCGTTGTTGTGAAATAGTTGGGTACCTCTAGGTAAGGTACCTAGGCCACCACCCAAAATGATGGCAAGAGATCGTAGCCTTTTCCGAAAAGCGTCCGTGGCGACTGTTCTCATCTAAAGCCTTTCCCCGCAAAAAGCCAAATCCCGTCCAAGTCCTGCCGCCTCCCGCCTCGCCAGCAAGCCGAGCAGCAGCTGTCATTGATACCCGGCGACATACGAAGCAGATTTGATGAGAGTGTGAGAGGACAAAAAGGAGCTGAAGTGACAGAGGTCACGTATAGAAAATAAAATATATAATAGAACAAGCCTCCCTCCCCCGCAAACATTGAATGTGCTCCCCGTCTTGTTTTCGCGCCGAGCGTGCGACAAGGGTTGCACGTAGAGATTTCCAAACCCGAGATCAGAATAAGGGAGACAGGTAGCAGTGTAAAATAAATAAAAAGAGGAAAAAGAAACCACAAACAGGGTCGCCCGTCGAGGGGTATAAGGTATCTCGAGAAGGGAATAGTTTAAAACGCCAAACTGCAAAGCATCCCTTTCGTGGTTGATCGTGTCCATTAACCCAACCGGACCCATCTCCGATGATTAGGGTCTTTCGTGCGAATAAATGGCTTGACACCCCAAGTCTAAAATGTGTTTTCGTCACTTTTGTGTTTCGATCGCTGTGTGGAGGGTCCGTCTCCGCTCTAGTCGGTCCCACGGCGGCGTGTGAGAGGGGTGTGTGTTTGTGCGTCCGTGTGCGTATGTTGTCTGTGTTTGTTTTTTTAAGATAATGCGGCGAGCAGCCGAAGTTAAAAAGGGGTTCAGAAAGTAAGCCGGAACTCGTAGCCGTCCTTCCTCGCCGTGAGCGCCGAGGCTGCGTCGTTGGCGTTGGTCTGGTCGTCGACCGACATCTCCCACTCCCTCTTCATGGCCGCCTGCTTGGAGGCCGACGATAGATCTGCAATCTCTAGCGTCATGTCTTGGGCTTCGGGCAGTTCGGCGATCACGTCGTCGTCCATCTCGACCTCGAGCCGCTTGAGGACGTGGACCACCCTGACGACCTTGGACGCGTCGACGTTCCACTTGGCCGAGATGCGCGCCACGAATTCCTTGAGGGTTCTTTGCATTAGGTAGATGGCCCTGTGGAACTCCTTGGCCTCGGCGTTGCTGGGATTGGGTCTTGCAATGTAGAAGCACGCAACCGGCTTCGTGCTGCGCTCTGGGGGCGGGCGGTATGAGGCGTCGACGCCGAGAGCCTCGATCCACCCACTCAGGTTTCCAGCCTCATCTGTCCTGGATATGTTGACGGGCTGGTCGGACCCCTGCCTGGCCGTCAGGGGCGGGTCGTCAAAGTCCTGCCACTGCGCGTTCGCGCCAGCGGCCGATACTTGGGAGTGTAGCGAAAGCGAGCTCGGCGACGGCGACACAAGAGACGAGCCGGCCCCAGAGCTGCGTCCACTTCTTGCCTGCCAGGCACTGGCATCGGTCTTGCCTCCCACATCCAGAGTCTCGCCAGGGAGTGACACAGGGTGCGCATCTGGGTCGTCCAGGTCTTCGCCGCGAAGGTACAGGACGCTGACGGGCCTGGTGCTGGTGAACATGTCTTGCAGAGTCTGGAGCTTGAAATGCAGATCCTCCTCTAGAGGTGGACGCTGAGCTCCGGCGGAGCTCGTCGAGGACATTGACCAGGTTCGCTTGTGCTTCTGCACCTTTCCGGGCCGTTGGGAATCGTGGTTCTTGGCTTGCGACCCACCAGACCGCTTGCGCTTGTTGAAGTCCTTCATGCCGCTCTCCGCCTGCGAGATTTGCTGCTTGAGCTTGTCGATCGACTTCTTGATGTGGGCCACGTCGTTGGAAAGCTTGCGCTCGGCGCCGTGGTCGCGGAACAGCTTGACCTTGCAGTAGCATATCTCGGTCGCGGCGGGATCGGAGCCCGCCTGAGGGGCGCTGTCGACTGGGAAGGTCGACGTCTTGGTGCAGAGTCTCACGGGGATGCCCTTGACGCCCTTGGAGTGGCTAAAGTCGGTCGACAGGAAGTTGAAGCGCACGGCAACGGTGCACTCGGCCGCGCCGTTGATGCCAGGTGTCCAGATGACAGAAAAGCCGTCAAACGAGGACGACTCGAGCTCGATGCGGGTCCGCTTGTCGTCGCCCTCGGCGGGCTGGCCCGCCTCGACATACTCGACAGCCTGCAGCTTTCCTCCTCTTTGATGGGCCTCATTCGTTCCACGTCCTTCCTTCCACAAGCTCCAACACACACCCGGCTTCAATCGTTGTTGCTCGTCTTCGAAGGAGACGCGCACGAAGGTTCGGAAACGGGTGCCCGGCACAATGGGGATGGTCGGCTGCGTGTCGACGATGGAGAGCGAGTACGCTTGGCCCTTGTTCAGGTACGTCACAGGGATTTCGTCGGCGTGCTTTATCATGGCCGTCGGCGCGTTGAGCGTGGTGTGAAAGCGGAACTTCTCGGCCGAGGGCGGCAGGCCCATATTCAGGGGCATAGAATATTGCCTCGGCTGGAAGCTCACGATCGGGGACTGGGTCTGGAAGGTGGAGCCGATGGAAACCATGCGGTCCTCGGCGGCGTCTGAGTCCATGGGCGAGCCATCCTGGTCCATGGTCTCGTAGCCTGTATCCCGGTGCACGAAGCTGGAGGGCGCAAAGGCAGGCTGCGTGGGCGGGGGCTGGATGAAGTGGTGCTGGAAGTGAGGCGCCTGTGGGTGGTGGTACGGCTGCTGCTGCGGGTGGTGAGGGTGCATGCCTGGGTGGAAGCCGCCCGACATGTCCATCATGGCGGCGGCCGGATGCATCTGGGCCTCCGAGGTGGGTATCGACAGCGGGGTCCCCAGGCCCATGCCGAGCGCGAGCGAGGGCGTGTGCAGGTCGCCGGCCTGGGGGTGGTAGAGCGTGTTGGTGCCCCCGGGAGTGGGGGTGTAGTAGCCAGGAGGCGCATTTGCAAAGTTGGAAAACGAGAAGGAGTTGGGGTCCATTAGTGACGGCGTGAACTTGAAGAGGTCGTTGCCCGTCGCTCTTGGCGTCGGGTCCTGGTCTCTGAATGCCTCATGACCGATGTTTTGCGGCCTAGTTGTGCGCGCGGAGCGCTGTCAGCTTTTCTTTTGATTTGTGAAGTTTGCGAGACGGATAGATCGGGAAATAGAGGCAGAACAAGGGAAGGGACAACAGAAGGCATGACGAGTGAGGCTGGGGGCAAAGGCGGAAGCGGTGCATACCTGTCCTGGTTACTGGGGACGGCGCCTGGATGGTCTGGCGCGACGATACCGACAGGTGCTACTGTCGACGACGTCCCAGCATCTGCGGTGGTGCCGACATGGGGGAATTGCTCTCTAAAGGTGGCAAGCAGGTCATCGCCAGGCTTTGCCGAGCTCGTTCTGCGAAAAGGGCGCAAATAGAAAAAAAGGCGCAATGTCAGAGATGTCCTCAACCGTTTTGTGTGGGTTTTGCGCCCTCTTTTCTCTATTTGTCCCTCTTTTTCCCTTTTCCTTCCTCTGGCGCCCACGGCAACTAGAAGGCGGAAAAGAAACAAGTACGAGAAGAGAGGGCAAATAAGTAGATGTGAGGTACATACCGTTGGCGAAACATAAGGGCGAATCTTCAAATGCGCTGTCCAAGGACAGCCGTCTCGTGGGGAAATCAGCAGCGGAGGGCCAGCTCTTTTTCTTCTCGTTTCCCTGCTATCCCCGTGGGCCCGAGCTAAGTGCGTGGTGAGAGTGCTAGCGCGCCAGACAGAACCGGACTGTGTTGGCTGGCTGGAGGAGCAAGCCGGTGGATGCGCCCTCTGAAACCCTTGCTCCTTCTCACAGGCTACCCTCGCGATTCTGCCGCGGGACTAGCCAAGCCTCGCTCTGGTGCGGAAAGCGTTGTTGTCGAACCCGACAGGTGAGGGCGTGCGGTCACGGGTGCTTGGTTATTATGCGACCGTTCCGTCCGGAAAAGGGCGTGGGAATTGTTTTCTCAAAAAGAAAAGAAAAAATAATAGCAATAAAATGGTACTAGAGGGTAAACGTGCACGGCGAGCGAGTGGGAGGGGGCAAGCGAGTGTGATGTGGGAGTAGGGGGTATGTGTATGTGTGTGCACGCGCGTGTCTTATGCTCGAGTATGAGTGCGAGCAAGCGTGGGGTGCGCGCAGGTGTTGTGTGGTTCCGGCGAGGAGGAACAAGCCGCTGCAGGAGAGGTCAGGTGAGAACGAGAGACAGACCAGACCTCCAGACGAGCACACACAGGCACAACCACGCTTCCTTCTTCTTTCCTTCTAGCGGGAGCCTCGGGCGGCGGGATGGGTGAGATCGGGTGCTGGAGAGTTTGGGAAGGCGGGCGAAGCGGTAACAGGAAGAATTATACGAGAAGAGGCTGATTCTGTCCGGTGGGTGGTGCGGCGACTTGTACATCTAGTAAAGGAGCCAAATAAACGGAATGGGAAGTGGGTACTTTTCACATATATGGTGGAGAGGTGTCGAGAAGTCGCAAAGGCGTGATCAAGTAACCTCGCTCACTTCGGATCGAGGCTGTGAGGAGTAGTCGCCGACAGGGGAGGGGGTGTGGCTAAGTCCACCCGACTTCGCGGGGTGGTGTACCTAGCGAAGGCGGGTTGGGCTGGGTCGAGCGTTTTGAGTGCCTTATTTTGGTGTGCCGAATGGGGAGGCGGGCAGGCTGGCTGGCAGTCCTGTCAGTTCTTCGTCAGTCGGCCTGAGGGATAACGGGTGTAGTAATGTGGTGGTGGCAATGGTGGGCCTGGCCCTGCTCTGGGATTAGGTACGCACGTTAGCAATCTGTGATCTGGAGGTAGCGCGCTTGTCACGGCGCACTTCCTCCAGACGGTATTGCGGTATTGCGACCCCAAGGCTCCGTCTCGCTTTCTGCCGCGCCGAGCCAGTCGAGCCGTCGCCTGAGTGTCCCGCCACCCACCTTTTCTGACTTGCGAGTTGTCCTTGTCTCCCTGTCGCCGCCGGGGGCTCCTGGTCATGGTGCAAGGAACATATGTTTGTGCATGTGGGAAATCAGGTGGAGAGAGCCTCTCCATTCGGCCCAATTGAGCGCAGGCCTGGCCTGGACGCCTCCAGTCGGCCGCAGGTACTTTGGCACTGTCACGGTGTCAAGGGGAGAAGGCAAGGTGGAGAGACCCCACCTGGGCTGGCTCTGCTTGGCAGGTCTCCACAGCACCGTCAAAAAAAAGCAGCGAGGGAGAAGGTACATTCGGCCAAAGTATCTCACGCCTCCTCCATCTGGCCACTGCATCTGGATTGGATGCCCCCTCCCCTCCCTCGCTAGGAATCCCTGCCGGCCCTCCTGGCATCTGTCGAGGTTGGGACGGATCTTTGATCTGCAGGATCATCTGCTGGACCTTCGACCAACTGCGCCTGTGGCTGCCGCCGTTCGCATGCCACAAAGCAAATTTCGTCTTGCTAACGGCGAGCCCGGGGCTATCCAACACCGCCTCCAGATACCTAGACCCAGAAGCCCTGCACGGACTCGTTAGCTGCCACTGGAACGATCTAGGGAGTCGGTAGCCTTTTTGGGCTATTTGAGCCTGGTTTGAGTCGTGTGTAGTTGTGCGAGTGTGGCTGACGAGCAAGCCTGCAATCCACAGCCAACCCCGACTGCTCTTCGAATCCCCCAGAGTTGAACAAGGACGGTCGCCGAGACCGATAGGTACCCAACACCTTCCCGCCCTGCCGCCCAAGCCGCCGCTGGATCCCTGGGTGCTTCCAAAATACTCGTGTAATCCATCATCATTGCATCTCTTGGCCGGGCTCCCAAGAAAAGGCAACACGCGCCCCTCTGCGGAAAATGAATAAAGCCATGCTCACACACGGTTTTTATTACCGCTTCGGCCGTTCTACTGCATGTGCATTCTTTTCCCCTCCCGGCATCCCCCGTCAGCGTCAGAGCCACGACAGGCCATGAAGGTGGGCTCGCTCTAGACGGGCGAGTATTGCCTCCACTCTGGCTGGATGGCTCAAGGAGGGGGTGATGCGTGACGGGCATCTACACACTTCCGTGTGCTGTGCGTTTCCCCGACTCCGCGTCCGGGCCAACTCCCATACAACGAGCAACAAACATCGCGCCCCTCGCCTGCTCTCGGCTCGAGCCTGGCACACCGACAATGGGAAATCCAGCAGCGGCCCTCGCGTGCCTGACAATGTATTTTCTTGGGAAACTCAATGTGTTATTTTGCGCAAGCGTGCCGGCCCCGTTCCTTTCCTATATCGGCGAGAGGTGTCCCCGCCACAAGCGGCAGTCCCACCCCCCCCCCCCAAAAAAAAAAAGGGTTCTATATTGCTCAACCTACTCACAAGCCAGCACCTCTATCTTTTAAGCGAGCGGCAGAAAGCGTACACACACACCTACCTGGTTCAGGGACATGTCCAGGCGCATAAAGGGTGGCACACTTGCTTGAGTGCTTACCTAGATAGGTAAATCCCCATTCTACGCACCTGTCTCGTCACTTCTCGACTTGGAATGGGATAGCAAGGACATGGCATCGCTTGCGGTCTGCGGCATGACGGCTCGGGAGAAATCCCAAAGCAGCTCGTGTGGGCCAGGGCAGGACGCGCGCCGAGAAATATGGGATATCGCACAAGGCCGCTCCAGATCGTATCTCGCGCCTGGGCCTTGGCTCGCAATGTCGGGGATGGCGGACTGCGTGGGCGAGAGAGGGCTGCGGAGTCCGCGACATCCACCGCGGCCGTCACCCACCCACCACACCGGCAGTCCGGACCTTACTGTTTTGGCTGGTCATAGTGGTTGCCCAAGCCCCGAACGGGTCGAGCATTGGCGCTAGCCGAGCCGGGGTTGGGCTTCTCGTAGGGCCGTTGGGAGGGCATTGAATCAGACCACAGCTGGTTCCGTCGTGATTTTGGGACCACCACAAAATGAACATGCTTACCGCGGACAACAGGATGACGCACCCACGCCACAAGCGTCGCATTCACCCAACCCGCGTTCGACCGATCGGGAGATAGTGCTCTCGCCAGCGCGCAACGGCCAACAGTTCGCGCGGCAGTCTTTCCCCTCACTTCCGCCCTTCGGCTGTGTGGACTTCGTAAAATGTGATGGGGCGGGGCTGGAAGCCACCACCAAGATCCAATGATCTCGAGCTGGGCACATAAAGGGCTGGGGCAAAACCTAGCAGTCACCGCCTCTTTATAGCGACAGATATTGGCATGGAGACAGCGGCATTGAGTCTCATTGATAAAATCACCCTTAAGACTGGGATCCAATATATGTAACTGCACCAGCGCATCGATGTGAGGGTGCCATGCCGGGGCACGGCAGAGAACGGACACGCGGGGTTGCAGCAGGACGAAGAACATCCCAACGAGGGAAAATAACAGAAAGAACGGAGGTAACAAGAACAAAGCGGCAGCGAGGATACCCACCCTGCATGTTTATCCGACGACGCCGTATCCCTGCACCACACAACAAGAAATGAATAGAGCAAACGGACTAACTACCTGGGGCAGAAGGGTAGCCACGGCGCCGCGCATATCGATCCTCCAGCGTATTATATATGCCCGGAGTATTACATGTAAATGGTGGCCTCGGGGAGATCGGTTAGCAGAATGCCACAGTGCGTAACAAGATTTGATATCACAGCGGCGCAGAGCCCGCCTACTAGGCAATCTAGTGGGTAGAGCCTCCGGCTGGCCAGAACACCAGCACCCCCATGACAAAATCGTTGAGACCGCAAAATCAATTTTTTCCTACCAACTCCACCGCCCTCAATCCAACCCACGCACAACAAAGCCTTACAACGATGTCTACAGAGCTTTCTACGCCTAAAAAAGCACGCGTGCAAGCCGTATGCGATTTCCTTGATACAGAAAAGCGTCCCTACAGTCACAATGCCGTCTTCCGCTGGGCTGGCGTTTCGAAAGCATCTGGCTGGCGCATCCTATCCCAAAGCCGTTAACTCGACCCCCGAACCTTTCATTCCCTCCACCTTACCACCGACTCCCGAAGCCGGAAAAAGCTTTTTTCCCAAGCAGATATTAACAAAATGACTTTAATCTTTGAAAGCAACGGTTAAGACGGACGCACGCTTGCTTGGGCCGATATCCCAAGTGCTGCAAGCTTCGATATTCAAGCTTTCGAACGGACAATCCAAAAAGCTTTGCAAAGCGCCCAGTTTAGGCGATGCGTTGCTTGCAAAAAAACCTACGTTAATCCACGCTTGGCTAAACGCCGGTGCGAATACGCCCGCCATATGCTTGAAAAATACCCAATGCCTCAAAATTGGTACCACGTACGGTGGTCTGACGAAACGCACTTCGGCTGGGGATCAAAGGGGCGCGTTTACGTCCTTAGGCGCCCTTGGGAAAGAAATTGCCCAGATTGCGTTGTAAAGGATAGGCAACCCCCAGATAAGGACCTCGTTCGAGTGCATGCATGGGGCGCTATAGGGCATAACTTTAAAAGTTCCTTTGTTTGGTACGATATTGGCAACGCCAACGGCAAAATGACTTTGCAGGCTTACAGGGACCAGATTTTCGAGCCCGTTGTAAGCTCTTGGTTAAGGGACGGCCACAACTTTGTGTTAAAGGAAAATAACGATTCCGGCCACGGCATTGGGAAGTTAAACATCGTTAGGACCTGGAAAAAAAAGGCCGGTTTAACGTTTTTTTTTAACACGAGCCATAGCCTTAACATTCCCCCCATTAAAAAAGCATGGCTAGTACTAAAAAACAACACCAGATTACAGGCCGTTTGGGACGATAGGTACCTTAAAAAATTAGCAAAGGAAGCTTGGGAACGCTTGTCACTTGAGTCTATCAACAAATGGGTTGACGCTGTACCAGATATCCTAGAAAAGATAGTTGATGCGGAGGGTAAAATGACGGCCTACGATGGTTAGCCCCTTAGATTTTAGCCCTTTTTTTTTTGCGGTCTCAACGATTTTGTCATGGGGGTGACCAGCTACGGCACACTGCACTTCCACCACAATAGGGTTGTTCTTTAGGGTTGAGACAAGGAAAGGCAAAGAAGACACTAAAGAGGAGTTGAATCGCCAGAACGCGTTTCGGTGGTAGGTGTGCACGCCTTGGTGTGTCTTGGTCCTCGTCCCATGATTGCTAGTCTTGGTCCAACGACCATCAGAGCAGCTGAAAGATTACGACGCCCTACAGCGATCGGCACGAATTTGACTGAACAAGGCTAAATAGATCTGCAAAAAGACCCCTCACATCACTTTTGTTCTAGCACTTTTCCGATGCTTTCAATGGCTTCCATCGCTCGTCAGCCGACTCGGACGAATGCTAATTTCGGTAAGGTGCACGGATCTGACGTCATCCCATCAAACTCCCCCAGTCCACGCCACTGCGCCATTGAACGAGGATGGACCCTGAACGGCAGGTGGCACCCATCGCGGGAAGTCCTGCCTTGTTTGTGGCACACCTTAGCAGAGCCGGCACCGAGCGACTGGGTGCCTGGAAGAACCCACAACCGCCAGCGCTCGAAATGCGGAAAGGAGAGCGGGCTTGTAACGGTATCCAAACCTAGGTACCGTCCTGTCCCGACGGACTCGCTTACTAGGACACATAGGGGAGGACAGCTCGATGGCTCGATGTATTGCCCAGGGCCACTCCCTGCTATCCACATTGCTTATGTGCGAAGGTGGCCTCGGCCTTTCTATGGTGGGGACCATTTGCACACTGTCCACGACAAACAGATCGGCGATGACATCAGGCCCCACCTTGGAGTCGTGGAGTTGCTGCGACACGGTGTGATTCTCAACGGCCAAGTCGGGAATGGTGGCTGCCGAATATGGCGAAAAATCTTTGCAAAAGAGAGGAAAAAGGCAAAAAAGCGGGTTTGCAAATCTCCTCCAGCTCTCGTGCGCTATCAAAAACAGATCGGTGTCGGCCTGGACTCCCGGAAACCAGGGCAAGCTTAAGGAAACGGTTACTGGGGGCGGGCTGGTCGTCGGGTGTGTATGGTTGTGATCCTAGCCGCAAAACTTAGCGGCTGTGGTTTGGACCCTGCGTTTTTTTTTTTTTTACGGTACGAAAGCCGAGGATTATCTCGACATCTTTGTATCACCGCGATTCGATGCGATGCGTATGACGCGGGCGGCCAGCAGATGCGGCGGCGGCGGCAAGCCAGCCGCAATGTCGCGGGTGGTGGCTGAGCACCCATCAGGCCAGGGGCGGTCAGGGTATGGGAAATGCCTCTCGGTTTCCGTTTCCCCTTACGCGCCTGCCCCTTATTTTTACAGCTGCTAGGAGGGATCAAGCTCCCGTGGCTCCCCGCCGCCGCTGGGGGTATGCGTACGCCCCTTGGCTAGGATCACGAATCAGGGCTCTGTTGCCAGCACCCACATCGACATTTGAGATACTTTCGGCCGTTGTATCTAAGGATAGGGCTAGGGTTGAGCTGGCTGGCCGTTGTCCAATTTTTTTTTTTCCCGTCTCGCGATGCCATGTTGGCATTGTGCATGTGGCAAGGGTATGCCGGGGCCCAACGGATGTTCTTCGAGGTGCTCGTTTCACAGTGGGAACGGGAAGGCAACCGCGAGGAAAGGGAAAAAAAAAACCAAAAAAAAAAAAAACCGAGTTTGGACCACAAACGTGGGGGCCGGTTGGGGCATTACAGCAGGTGACGTCACTCGCCCTGGCGCCTCTGTCGGCGCAAGAACTCAGTCCGCAGCGCGACGTCAATGCAGACGGTACACTCAAGCGCCCACTCAGGAGCCCCCAAACA